ATCAATATTGATTTATACAAAAATAATAATAATAATAATAATAATAATAATAATAATAATAATAATAATAATAATAATAATAATAATAATAATAATAATAATAATAATAATACTAACTCAATTTATGTCACTTTTATTTATAAAACTTATACATACTTTATTTATTAAATAGGTAATACACATCCCCTTACTTTATTTATAATTTATTTATACATAATTTATTTTGTAAAACTAAACTCCTATTACTTTGACATATTTTTAATGAAATATTATTAATACATTAATACACATCATATCTTTTAAAAGCCCCCAAATCAACCTTTATTCCTCTCTTTCATGAGAGTTAAAAATTTCTCGATGCGAGCTAAAATTCCTGTGGGTTACAACATTTAATTCCCTTGATTAAGGCCTCCATTATTGTGATTGTAGGGTTTGTCTGTCCTTTTATTATCCTTTCTTCTTTACCCCTGCAGTTTCTTGTTTTGTTTGTTTTGTATTGGTGCAGATTAGGGTTTGGCTCTGAAATTTCCGCTATTGCTATTATTGATCATGGACGAAGAGGAAGACTTGGTGCACAGTTTAGGTGCATTTCACTTATCAGCTAAAGAAGCGAATCTCATCCCCATTGAGAATGAAGATACTCATTTCAGTGAGGAAGAATGTCGGAAAAGTTTATTTGGAAAAATCATTGGCCAAAAACAAGCGCATATTGCAGGGCTAAGGAGAACAATTCAGCACATCTGGCAGATTAAAGGATCGGTGGTTATTAAGGAGCTATGCACGAATTTTTTTCAATTCCTTTTTTCGGATTTGGAAGACAAGTTCAAAGTGATTAAAGGAATCGGCTGGAGTTTTGAAAATCAACCTCTCATCTTGCGAGAATGGGTGGAAGATATCAGTGTCGATCATGCTATATTTGATGAACTGGAAGCTTGGGTTCAAGTTTGGAAGCTTCCAATAAGCTGGATATCAGACGAGGTGGGGATAAAAATTGGGAAAGCATTCAAGAAAACAATCAACGTCTCAATACCATAAGGAGGGCAACTTGCAGGAAAATGTTTGAGGCTCCTAATATCAATGGATATTACTCAACCTCTAATGAGATGTGCCAGTCTTCAGCAGGGTAACAAGAAAATCATTGTTGATTTCAAATATGAAAAGTTACCAAATGTGTGCTATTACTGTGGTATGCTTGGTCATCTGGATAGAACTTGTACTCAAAGAACGGCTGACATTGCAGAAGGCAAAATAAAAGTTGGCATGTTTGGTGAATGGCTAAGAGCTAAGGATATTCCCCCTAACCACCAGCATCAACAACCGGTTCCAGACCCTAAACCCCTAGAAAATCCGCAATCTAACCATGATCCAGAACCCAACACTAACTCTCAAAATCAACAACCTCTCCCACTACCCCCAAAAGCAGATAAACCAGAATCCAATCTTATCCCACCTTCAACATCCCTTCACAATACCCAATCTGTTTCAGCTCAGATTATTCCTCAACCCAATCAATCCCCACAGCTTCTTCCTTCTCAAGAACCGACACTCATATCAGCAGCCCAGATGAAAGCAGCAGATCCCTTAGATCAAACCTTGATCCCAGAACCAAACACCACTCCCATTATTCATACAGATCCATTTGAAAAACCGGAGACCAATAATTCCACTACAAAACCATACCAAGGTACTAAAAGTTGGAAAAGAATAATTCCAGCTAACAATCCTTCCATCCCAGCTCAGCCTGAAACCAAAAGTATCGGAGGCAAAAGACAACTGAGCTCTCCAGAATCTAGCCAAAATTCAGAGGAGATGCACCAATTCAAAAAGATGAAATCAGAGAAGACACATGTGAGGGAGACCAGCCTTAAATGGTCCCACCCGGATCAATGAATGTTATTGT